ACGGTGGGTTCTGGATGACCACAGTCAATGGCGAAGCCAGGATTTTCAGGTATGGGGGGGGGAAGGGGCAACTCATCCGGCAATGAAAAATGATAGAGAAGTTGTTAGTAAGTAAAGAGTTGTTAGTAAGTAAAGAGTTGTTAGTAAGTAAGGAGTTGTTAGTAAGTAAAGAGTTGTTAGTAAGTAAGGAGTTGTTAGTAAGTAAGGAGTTGTTAGTAAGTAAAGAGTTGTTAGTAAGGACTTGTCCCTTGCTTTTTATTTGACGCGTGTGCGGCGATGGCGCAGCCATCGATCGAGGGTCGAATTCGAACCGCGTTGTGTGATCGGCACCGCGCTCGCTGAAGGTGAATGACTTCAGGGAAGTCGTGGACTGGATACGCGACTGCGCACAATTCAGTGAGTCACTTATAACTGCTTTGCCGTTACTTATTGCCAATTATGGACTCAGACTATTGTCCTATCATCTCATAGAGTCCTTGGCACGTAATAATATGCTACACAGCAGTGGCAGTGGGGGTAGCAAAATGCCGATGTATTACTAATAACCCCCAATGATCCGATCGAAATTTGGGATTTCGATCGGATCATTGGGGGGGGCACGTGCCTCCCCCCGCCCCCACTGGCCCCGCCAGTGACTACAGTCGCACACTGGAGAGGTTTTTAATTTTTCTATTTCCGCATCGGGTATCCGCATCCGCCACGGGTTGCGCAGTGGATGCGATTTCGGGTGGACCGTGAGCTTCGTGGAAGAGCAAACCCAGAGGGATTTTCCGCGTTGGGACTCTCTCGCAGGGCAAGACACTCCCTCACCTCATGGCACCTCCGAATGAGCACAGCCAGCTTACGTACGGTGCGAAAGAAGTTCAACGTGCGTACGAGGCGACGATGGCACGAATGGAATAAAACTCGGACCCACCAACCGCAGACGCCACCGCCCCCCTCCCACCACCCCCCTGCCACCCCCTCCCACCTACCCCCCCTGCCACCTACCCCCCCCCCCAAAAGACAACAATTATATAAATATTCAACTGAAAGGGGCCGCAACAGAGACAGATGGCGGAAGCGCACGGATCTAAGAATACGATGTCTCTGGCCGCGCCCACTCCCCGCCGCGCCGCCTTCTCCCCGTGATGGCTGTTGCTGTCAGATAGCCCGACGCACGGGAAATCCTGCCGTGTGCATCGTGGGTGGGTGTATGGGGAGGAGGAGGAGGAGGCGATGGCGATGCCCGCTGTTGACGCAGCACGTGAGACACTCGTCGTCGATGTCACGCACGCAGCAGCAGCAGCGCCGCCGACGGCGGCGGCACGGAGTTGGGATTGCGCCTTGCTCTGTTCTCCCGATTAGCGAGACGCACCCACAGAATAAGAGGCACTGCCCCCAAGCCTATCCTGTTCGCGGTGTCATTAAAGTTGGACAAACACACTGACCGCGTACACACCTGCACCTACCACGTTTAGAATCAACGTGCATTTACAGTATTTGGCTGCTATAAATTTCCACGCGATAAGCCACTATGTTGAACTGTCGTTTGTGGCCAGGTAACTTCTTAAAAAAAGCTACATATCTTAGTGGGCCTTACCTGGTAAGGTAAACAATTTTTTTTTTATAGTTGTAGCAACACACTGAACTTGCGGCAGCTGAACCAATGCAGACTTGATGCCTCGTGATGGGTGTCCATTTGGTGTTTGAACAATGTAATGCCTCTTATATTCTTGCCGGAATGGGCGAAGCCAGTTCTTGTTTTCATCATACACTAAAACTCTTTCCTCGGTGTTTTTTTTGTACGTGTGTACATCGCCCGCCACCGGCGATCTCCCCCCCTCCCCCAAAAAATGTGAAGCTTATTGACATGGGGCCCTATTTTAGAGTGATTCGTCGACTTCACAGCAGAGGGCGCGCTGAAGAATCAGCGACGACGTCCGTGGGATGGAGGTTTTATTTTATTTTATTCAGGCGTCAGATGTTTTGCAACACCAACACGCGTAGGGACATTGGCGAAAGTTGGAGAAAGTTAGAGCGGCAAATAAAGTAATAACATTGCAGATACCGAGTAGCAAACGACATTCAATCGACAATAATACGGGGGGGGGGGGGGTTTGGGCTAGATCGAGTCAATTTAAATGTGTCGTTAAACCCGCCACCACCCGACACAGCCAATTAGCTAGGTTTGTCACGTAAACAGAACATACCAATTCGTTACTAGTACATCACACCGGTGTATTGGAGAGCAAAACCACAACATTTACAATCTGAGTACGATGTTTCGCCAGTAATTACAACTAGCTTCATCAGGCGACAGACAGATTTGTGGATAAATCCTCCTGTTTCGTTCCTTAAATAGAGCATTTATCCACAAATCTGGCTATCGACTGATGAAGCTAGTTGTAATTACTGGCGAAACATCGTACTCAGATTGTAAATGTTGTGGTTTTGCTCTCCAACATACCGGTGTGCTGTACTAGTAACGAATTGGTATGTTCTGTTTACATGACAAGCCTTAATAATTGGCTGTCGGGTGGTGGTGGGTTTAACGACACATTTATATTTACGCGATCTAACCCCCCAAAAAACCTGTATTATGGATGATATTGGTTGCAAGAGCCTCCGTGTTAAACTGACTTTAAATCGAGCTGTTTTGGACCGTTGGTTAGCAAACGTTGAACTCGGTCCACCTGAGTTCGATTCCTGGCCACGGCGAACATCAGTGGGGCGAGTGATACGAGGAGGGACTGGTCCCGGGTGTTTACCCCCCCCCCACCCCGTTGAGCCATTCTCAATCATTTGTTGACTGAGAAAGGCCCAACAAAAGAAGGCAAAAATAATTTGGTCATGGGCGAATTTAGGTTGGCATTTAACCAAATGCGGTTCCGCATTTGAAAATACCACGGCGCAAAGCGGCATGCAAAAAGTATAAATACAGCATAATGTTTGGTTTCGTAAAGCGTCGTCCTTCACGCAAAACTGCATCTCATGATTTAAGCCGATCACTGAGTGTTTATATATGTGGTAGGAAACTCACGCGAGCGAGGGGGCAACGCTAAACCCCAAACGGATGGAAGAGATGAGGTTTTGTCTGTGCCTCGGTGCTAACTTCAGTGGCGAGTGCCCCCCCCCCCCACCATCCTCACCCCCTCGAGTCTCCCTCCTTGATCAGCGCGGTGAAGTATGGTCAAACAATCCCCATCACATACACGGCCTGGGGAGGCATTCATTCAGCAGGTTATTGACAAACTAAAATGTACGTACGACAATTTTTTTGTTTCTGATAATTATTGTGCGTAACAATTATTGACCCTTAGAGAAATTCTCACGTCAAACGGAATTGTTGATGTTTTAAAAAAAGTTGCATCCTAAACGGTGTATACGTTTTGTTACCTATTTCCAGAAATTCACAACAACAACAGACCATGACAACATTATGGCCATGAATAATTATTCATAAGTAACTACAGGTACTCTAGCTATCAATTAGGGATGAGATCAATGCTGATGATGTTTTTATCCCTGCAATGATGGAAATATGTTCAGAAAAAAAGAGCTTAATAGCTCATCGAATTCCTCCAGTATAAATAAATATTATTTTTCTAATCGAAAGAGATGTACAGTAGTCCAGACGGCTAAATATCAGAGCATCACGATGGTAAAGATAAACTACGCTTTGCTATTGCTATAAGACCCCTATCTACTGGACAGTGGCTACCCAGTCGACGTATTATTATTACAGTACAGTGTGTGTATTTTTGTCATTTGGCAGGGTCGATGGCTGACCCGTCACACATATGCCTTCCTCGTTGGACCCTGTGACTTTCGTTGTCAAATAATTCCACTTTTGCATTCCGGCGTGTCATGCCGCTTGTGCCATGTCTGAATTTTGAGATAAGAGGGACAACGTGAAAGTGGTGAGAGAGAGGTTTGTTGAGTCATTGAGACAGAGACACTGAGAGATAGGGACACGGCTGAGACAGACGCTGAGACATGGAGAAAGACAGACATGGAAGGACAGACACAGACGCATAGAGAGAGAGAGAAATGAAGAGCCAAATTAGTACTGAGAGTTATATGTGTACACCATACAGAGAGACACGGCCCTGTACACACTTAGACAAATAGATCGACAAATGCACAAACACATTCGTAAAGGCAGATATGCAAATTGTGGCGGAGGGATTGTCTTGTTAGACAAATGGATGGGTAGATGGATGGGTGGTTGAGTCAGTGGATCCATGGATGGATTGACACATGGGTGGATACATACATTGGTGGATGGATGGGTGAGTAGGTGCATTGATGGGTGAACGTATGGATTGATAAGTAGGTGGGTGGATTTGGGATGAACGGGTGGATGTATATATGGGTAGATGGATGGGTTGACCAGTTCATGGGTAGATGAATGGGTTTATGTTTTGGTGGTTATATCGGTGGGTGGACAGGCGATTGAATGTATGATTCAAACAGAGGCTGAATCAATGAATAAATAAATAAATCGGCAGATAAACGAATAACGGAGGGATGGATAAATAGATAACAACCCATAGGTATCAGATGGACAGACGAACACAAGAACGAAAAAAATATACATCTGCATGAGCGTGCAAGCGGATGTACGAGTGTGCGTTGTGTGTGCAGCTACTCGTAGCGATACGGTAACAAGGGGCCAGCCTCGAGAAGGAGGAGGCAGGAGCGGAGATCACATGAGCCACAGAATCGCGTCAGTAGTAGCAGCAGCCCCTACGCCGCTACACACACAACCAGCCACCCATCTCTCAAGCTCCTTCCTCCTTCATGGCCGCTCAAAGTTTAGCCGTCAAACGTGCTCCGTGTACGTAAACGGACGAGGATTGTACTCTCTCCTCTCTCTCTCGGTGGGATTTTGGCGAGCCGATGAAGACTATCGTGAACCGCCGTTAACGGGGCTTTATAACACACGAGTGGGTGGTTTAATTCGATATTTTTCGTTCAGTTATAGGGAGGGGTGCGGGTTGGGGAAGAACGGGTGAGCGGGGGGGGTTTATTTTTTGACATTTGGTGACGATTATTTTTGTTGTTAGTGGAGGGTAGTGGGGGGGTGAGATTGGATTCGTTGGATGCTGTAGCCAAGCCAAGAGTCGTCTTGGGTGGAAGTCATTTTCCGTATTTTCGCGATAGTGACAAACCAAGCGGCCTCCTAATTTGATGATTTAGGGCTGTTATCGGCGCCACTCTTCGTCATCAGCAGCAGCAGCAAAACGATCATCATCACCACCACCACCATCATCACCACCATCACAACCATCATCAGCAGCAATAACATCGTCCGCAGTAGAACGAAAGGGAAGGCAGTCAGGCGAGCTGATTGTTGTTAGGGGCCGGCAGCCACAATGGGGGCTTGCTACAGCCTACGCGCTCGGCTCCTCGGCCCCGATGTTCCACTCGCCTACGAGACAACGCAGCAACAACAACAGCAGCAGCAACAACAGCAGCAGCAACAACAACAGCAGCAGCAGCAACAACAACAGCAGCAACAACAGCAGCAGCAACAGAACCAGCGGGGAGACGTAGAACGAGACCAGCAGCAGCAGCAGAGAGAAGCGGATCGCGAGAGGGAGGTGCGGATGCAGTGGAAGCGGGAGGACGAGAAAGCGCGGCGCAAGACGAACAAGAAGCGAAGCAACATCATCGACAAGAAGCTCAAGGCGGAGAAGAGGGAGTACAAGCAGAGGCACCGCCTGCTCCTTCTCGGTAAGCCACGGGATGCCTGGGGGGGGGGGGGGTTGACGGATCACGGCGCGATGCGAGGTTTGCGCTGGTGCTGGGCGTAAACGATGGAGACCCACACACACCACGGTTGCTCAACCCACACCGATGGTTGTCAGGCCACACCCATGGGTTTCTGGCCACACCGATGGTTTTCTCGCCACACCGATGGATTTCTGGCCACACCGATGGTTTTCAGGCCACAACGATGGAATTGTTGGCCACACCGATGGTTTCCAGGCCACACCGATGGTTTTCAGGCCACACCGATGGTTGTTCTGGCTACACCCATGGGTTGCTGGCCACGCCGATGGTTGTCTGTTTTAGTTTTTTTGTCTGTTGCGGTTGCACCCGATTCAAGAGCCCAATGGCTCACAGGGGCTATACCAAATAAATGGAAGTAAAATAAATGGAACACCAATGGGTTGCAGGCCACCGATGGTCGTCTGGCCACACCGATCATTGTCTGGCCACACCGATGGTTTCCAGGCCACACCGATGGTTGTCTGGCCACACCGATGGTTGTCTGGCCACACCGATGGTTGTCTGGCCACACCGATGGTTGTCTGGCCACACCGATGGGTTCCTCGGCTCCTGACGTGACACAATCCCCGTCGCTTGCTCCCAAGTGCGCGACGTTCCTGCAGCAGACGGCCATGTGTGGCCAAGTCAAGCAGCCACTGCTGGCCGTGTGTCGCCGCGAGGGCTATCTTCTCGGATAGTTGAACTCAACCGATGTTGTTGCAACAACACTGCTGCTGCTGCTGATGTTTGCTGTTGCCCCTACTGTTGTTACTACAGTCGTAGGTTGTTGCATGGCAGACGCGAATTGTTGGGTGCGGTGTGGGGTGGAGGTTTGTGGATTAAAAACGTCCGGGTTTTTGTTTTTTTTCCGTTCCGTCATTGAATGTTTTTCTCTTGCTGCTGCTGCTGCTGCGCTATTTATACGAATCGTGATGTGCCAGACGTTCGGCTCTGTGCGTGTGCGTCCTGTGTGTTGTGATGTCTGTGTGTGCTGTGTGTTGTGTTGTGCTGTGTGTTGTGTTGTGCTGCGTGTGCGTGCTGTGCGTGCTGTGTGCATGCTGTGGGTGCGGGCTGTGTGCGCTATCTGTGGGGAGCGGTGGCGCAGTGGTTAGCGATAACCCCCTGGGCTCTCCGAACCCAGCGAACCCGAGTTCGATTCCCGCTCACGGCCACCACCTCCAGTGACGATTGTCTGAACCGGGTTCTGGGCCTCCCCTAGGTCGACTCAGCCTCAAAAGAGCACTTGCTGTGTGGTAAACGTCGCCACTGGGGAGACAAAGGCGGTCGGGCGTGGTGCTGACCACGCTGCCCCTTCGTCGTGCGCGCCGTTACCGGGCCGCCCTTAATAGGTGCTCGCTAACAGCACTTTGCCCGCCAGCAGTGTGAAGGCTATCCGGGCGATGTTGGTGACCTTTGTATTTGCCATGCAGCGTTACGGTACAGGGTTGCCCCGGATGTCTGGCGTGAGACCAACCCATTTAATTCTCAAAACACTTGATTTTTTTTTAAAGTAAGGTTTATTTAAAACAGGAATGAACACGACAAAGGAGAAATAACATGTTCAGGGTAATAACATGGGGTTTTTTTTTTGGGGGGGGGGCGGTCACAAGACATCTGGACCACCCCGTTGTCCACGCTGCCTCCTCCAGGGTGACTCTTGCTCTGACGTGCGCTCGCCCCCTGCGACATGAACATTCACTATAACGAATGTTTATGATAGAAAAAAAGGAAACCCCGCCTTTTAGCTTTTTGGTTTCCATATAATATCCACTTGCACATGCCATGCGGTGGTCCTGTATAGCGGTGTGTGTGTGTGTTTCAGTACAGTATATTGTATACATACAAGAAGATACATTATTACTATTATGTGCCCCACACGCACAATAACACAGTACTAGATAGAATACATTAGCACGATTGGATACGTACGGCGCGAAAGAAAATGAACATGCGCACACACACGCTTAAATGAACATTGTGTTCAATGTGTGTTGTATGTGATAATGTGGTGTGTACTGAAATGTGTGTGTGTTATGTACCAAGCCACAATTTTGAGCACTGTGTACGTGTTCTTATGAAATACTGGTTTACATGCGTGTGCTATGCGCGTGTCCTGCTTTGTGTGTAGTACACATTGCACAGTAAATCTCGTGTATATTGTGGAGAGCGTGATAGCTTGCTGGCTATTGATTAAATACAATCAATAGCTCTCGACTAGAGAGTGTTACTTGCCTTGGCCCACGCCTAGGTCGACTAAGCCATTACACTGGCTACTGTATTGATGGCAGTGGCTTTGAATTGCATTGCTGTAATACTCGTGGAATATTGGGGGGGGGGGGGGGGGGGGGTTGGAGACAAAGGCGGCAGGGCGTTGAGAACGGCGAGGAATATGAAAACTGATATTTCGTTATGCATACCGGGCTAGGTGCATATTGGGGTCACGTGGAGTGTCAAAGGCTCTCTGGCAGGAGGTCATGGGGACAGGCGCAGGTGTTATAGGTCAACCCACCGTACACACACACACTGACAATTGTAAATTGTGGGATCGCATGACCTATTGATTGGTACTAACACGATAACAATAACAACGGGCCAGTTCTGTGTTGAGCTAAACAATTAAGACCGTTTCCAACGGAAAATGTCGACCTACAGAGGTTCTGTTGGCTGAATGCTTCTGCTGGTTATAATTTTCGGCCTTTTCCTCTTTTAGACATCCGGTATTTATATTTATGTATTATTGTATTCTGTGTCCCGGGGTTGCACACAATCATCCTGAGCGTGATTTGCCAGACACCTATTTGGCTTTTACCGTGACGTCTGCCACTGCTTGTGTGATTGTCATCTTCCTCCTGCTGCTGCTGCTGCCATGCGGTAATGATGGTGGTGATGATGATGATGCTGCTGCAGAAGTCCATTGTTTTGCGTTTGAAGCACCGTCGTATTGTGAGTTTGGCACGGGATGTGTTGTATCTGTACTGACCAATTACGCCTTTTCAGACCAACTATGATGGCCCAGATGCGTGTGCGTCAGTGCGGCTATGGATATCCATTGTAGTGGTAAATAACTAAATAAACTCACTTTTTGTTAAACTGTGAGCGGATATTAATAAATACAATAAGTGTCCCGAAATACTGATTGATACCTTTCAGAGAGGAAGACTCGAACAGAGAATGTCTTGATGACGACGTCATACGAGATCGGTGCCAGAAAAATGTGGGGCCACCACTGGACGAAATGGGCAGTGGACACTTACGGGGCTACCTGCCCACGGCTCATGATGATGATGACCTTGCAGAGAATGTGTCCAGACTTCCCAAAAGCAGGAGTCTCCTGAAACGTGAGGAGTCATGAGACTCGGTGAGACTTTCCTGAGTATGCATAAAAAAGGCAAAGATCCCCCGTATAGCCTTAACATATACTGTTGGGGCAAGTGCTTTTAGCGAGCAGCTACGAAGGCCGGCACGGCACACGAGGGGGTGGGTGGCCAACACCACGCCCGGCCGCCTTTGTCTCCCTAGTGGCGATGTTTACACATTGCACCAGGTACTCATTTGAGGCTGAGTCGACCTAGGGGAGGCCCAAGACTGGTTCAGATAATCGTCACTGGTGTTGGCCGTGAGCGGGAATCGAACCCGGGTGGCCAGGGTTCGTAGCGCAGCGTGCTTACTGCTACACCATCGCTCCCCATGTATAGACGCACACGCCAGTAAACCTGTAACGTTGGGCTAACCTTGGTCCAATGGTTCCAACCACGTTCCGACATTGGCCCAACGTTGAACATGTTTACTGGGACGCTAGCAGTGGTCAAATATTTTTTGCAAACTGGGGATGGATATGAATATGTGGAGAACTGAAGTTTAAAGAATGATACATCACAGATACTTTTACATTTATGGAACTGGCCAGACATCTTAATGTATCAGGACCTCTTGAAACATATCCTTGAGACTGGGTTGAGGCTTTTGTGAGTAAACAATCGGCAATAATTAATTGGTTCAGATATCACTCGCCACTGATGGTAGGCAATGCTAGGGTCTAAAACTCAGGTAGTTGGGTTCATAGGGCAGTGCGCTAACCACCGCGCCACCACTCCACCCACGGTGCCGTTTAGTCGCACATGAAGCTACATTGTCTCGAGACTTGCCGATGATGAGTAGATACACCGAAGAATTTTGTTCGTTATAACGAAGTCAACTTTTTGTTGTAACGTTTTGTTGCTTTGAGTCACCCTCACCTTGATTTGACAATTTGACTTGTGTGCGTGCGTGTGGTGGCCGTGTGTGTACTGTAGTGTAGCAGCTTGCGCATGGCGCTACGAATCCGGCCACACGAGTTCGATACCCGCTCACGGCCAAGACCAGTGACGATTATTTTAATCGGTCGTGGGCCTCCCCTAGGTCGACTCGGCCTCGAATAAGTACCCGATGCGGTGTTTAATCATTGCCACGAGGGAGACAAAGGCGGCTGGGAGTGGGGCAAGTGGCTGCTCGCTCACAGCCACTTGCCCCAAAAAGGCTGTTCAGGCATGAAGGGGGGGAACCTTTGGTGTGGACTGTACAGGTGGAAAGCTATAAACGAGTTCAGAGGTCACCGCGTATGAGGCAACGGTGCTTGGAATCAAGCGACTTGCCAGCGCAAGTTCTCCGTGCCGGTTTTTTTTTCAAAGCGTGTTGGCTGTTTTACCTGGAAACTATTTTAAATGCTGCTTTGAATATTATGCGATTTGTGGAATTTGTTTATAATGGGGGGATTTTTTTTGTCCGTTCTGTGTAAAGATTTTCACAGGGTTTTTTTTTTTTAAACCCTGCATTTAGTAAAGATGAAATACATTTCCAGTCAATGTAATTGCTTGGGGTCAATATAGAATGGGGGGCTACGTGGGTGGGGGAGTGGTGGCGCAGGGAGTAGTGCACTGCCCTTGCAATCTGTCGGCCTGAGTTTGTTTTCCAAACACGGTAAA